GCACGCGTGCGTGTGCGGGCGCACTTGGTCTTACAGGAGGGAAAACCACAGACACAATGAATCGTCGATCCCCCAGAAGAAGCGGGAACATCTGGGAGGGGGGGGGAAGACAAAACCCCAGAACACATGGGAACATACGGGGAATCTTGTGATCTGTGTGTATCTGTTTGTGTGTCCCTGGGCCCGCGCGTGCTGTTGCAGTATGGGCGCGTGCGTGCGAGCGTGCGTGCGCGCGTGCGTGCGCGCAGCCCTGCCGGCACACTCGATTCCCCACACCTGCCTGGGCACCACACGTCTTTCGGGGGTGGACAGAACCCCCAATAGTGACACGTCGATTAGTGAATTGTCCGTTTTCGGTTTTCGAGAGGGCGCCGTGGCCGTTATTTTCCAGGCTTGCGCCCGCCAGTTGTGCCCGAAGTCGTTTTCACTAAACCACGTTTTACTAAAGGGATGTCTGTCCATCCCCGAGTCTTGCCAGAGGTACCGAGGTGAGTCGTGCGCGCCGCTCGTTGGAAGCAGGCGTCTCTGGATGTTCGAGTCCCGATCTATTTCAGGTGCTCTCCTGCTTCAGTGCTCGAGTGGGTTCCCCTCGTCCCTCCCCTACTGGGGGCTGGGTGGAAGCCCGATCCACTTCCATCGCCTTCCTACTTCATGATTCTGCCCACGTCTTCCGACCGACGGGTAATCTGGAAGTCGCGCTGCGGGGAGCTTGCCCTCGTCCTGCAAAGTTGAACCCAGTGCGTCGAGGTGCGCAGGCGAGAGACACTCAGCACAGGGACCCCCCGCGCCCGTCGATTTTGAAGGGGCCGGTCAACAAAGAGTACCCAATGCACGCCGGTCGTTGAGAGTAGGGTTTGTTGGTTTCCCCAGATCCCGTTCTATTTCGAGCGCCTTCCTACTTCAAGAATGTATATACGCTTTTGCTGTGACTTGTTTAATCCTTTGGGAGGGCCTGGACAAAATCTATCTTATCCACCTTCCTGCTTCATGTGTTTACCTACTTCCGACCGGCGTGTACGGTTCTCAATTTTGACGGGGTCGCTTCACGACGGCGCGTCGTCAGAAACCACCCGGGAGCGTCGCGTTAATTGCCACGAGACTTGTAGAGCCAGAGCCTCAAAGGTGCATGCTTTCATTGTATTGGAACGATTAAGCTGTAGATCTTCCCTGGTGCGCAACTGTCACCAGACACCCCACGTCGGTCGAGACTATTTCACAACGCGGCTCCCCAAAGGCATGGACCTCTTCCCAGGGGCCAGCTCTCTGTCCGATTCATCATTTGAGGGTCTCTGGGCCAGGCGAGAGCCTCCCGGAGGCCGAAGATGGGCAACATGTTCCGTCGCGATTTATGTCGCAGTGTGAGGATGTCCGAGAGTCTTCACAGGTGCACAGCATGACCATGCTTGTTTTTTCATCCTTCTCATGCGCAGGCCCCTTCCTTAAACCCTGATCCCAACCTCTCGCAACTGCAAACTAGTAACCGAGCGTGCTCTTGCACACTCTCACCTCCATCCTGCTGCTTCATCCTCCTCGTCTCTCCCTCAGTTCCTTCTCCTGATTCTTCCTCGCTCCTCGTTCGGCCGAGGGCTGGCCGAGGCAGCGGCGGCTCCTTCGGAGGGGGCCAGGATGCGGAAAACTCCGTCCCAGAGCGTTCCAGAAAGCTCTCAGAGCGTGCCGGAACGCTCTGAGGAGGCCGCGGCGCCCGAGACATCCTCCAGAGCCTCCAGATTTCATTGATTTTGGATTTTTCCTCACCTGATGTTATGCTCATCCTGGCTCCGTCTTACATTATTCGGACGGGGCCAGGACGGGGATGAAACCGTTCCTTGGCTGTTTCTTGGCGCCTGCTTCGAGCAGGTGGAGTCTCCCCCATAGGACGCACTGCTGCACACAGTCGCACTGAGCATAGGTCCGGAGCCAGACCCCCCCCCTTCACTCATGGGAGGAGAAGCAACCCGGACGGGACTAAACGGGGGGCTCCACCATGCTCGAACATGCCGAAAAGGAAGATGAGAAGGGAGACAACTGCTGACTCCAAAATCGCCTGCACCCATGGCCAGCTTAGCAGCTCCGGGCACCTCGCGACGCCCGAAGACGTCCAAGCGATGGGCTTAAGTCGGGCGTGTCCCCCTACGAGGGATTTTCGACGAAAAGTAAAACATATTCCAAAAATATTCCAAAATGGCAAAAATATTCGAAAAATAGTCCCCATACTATTTTTGGATTATTTTTGGAATAGTGTCGGGTCACTGTTTTTAATTTTTTCGTCGAAAATCACCCTGTAGGGGGACAGGCCCGACATGCCCGACTCAATGATGGGCGTCACCTACAGGACAATCCATAAATGTATATATATATATATATATATATATATATATGGACATCTTTCACTTGAGGGAAACCTAATCGACGCGCACCTCGCGACGCCCGAAGACGTCCAAACGATCGGCGGCGCCTATAGGACAGTTCATATCTATATCTATATATACATATCATATATATATATGGGTAGGCATATATTACACCAGAGAAACACCTGATCCGTGGCAGCCGCGGAGGTCCACGGAGGCCTCAAGGAGGGCTCCCCCCGCCGCCGGCCGCCTCGACCTCGCAGCCTCCCCCTCTCTCGCCGGGCGTCCCGGCTCGGGCCCGCGGCGCGGCCCCCCGTCGGGCACCCGTGCGGCCGCCGCCGCCGCTTGTGGCGGGGCGGGCGGCTCCCTCTCTCTCGGCGGCGAGCCCGGGGGGGCAGGGAGAGGGGGGGGTTGCCCCACCAAGGGGGTCCGGCGACAGGGGGGTGGTGCAACCGATCCGGTGCGATATAGATTTATGGGGTTGCGGTACATGCCCGGGGCGTGCAACATTGCAAGACACTCGGGGGCGCCAGTGTATTGCTGGACCCTCGCGTGCAATAGATCTGTTGCAGTACAATGCGATGCAGTTCTCTGGCGCAGAACATTTGCAACACACCTGCCCCAAGTCTATCGCACCACCCCCTTGCCGCCGGACCCCCTCTTGGGTCACCCAAAGAGAGGGGGCGGGCCTTGAAGGGCCAAGTCTACCGGCTTGTAGAAAACCAAAACATGGGGCCGATGTCAAGTACCGCTCTCACGTTCCAGCCAAGAGCGTCTGTGGACACATTGGGTGCCGTGACGTCCACAGACTCTTCCGGGGTGGATGCGTTTATGATCAACGCGGACGTTGCGTTCGGCACCGTGCAAGGTCGGAGGAAAGGGCAGATCTGTCTACGGTATGATCCTGTTTATAGGACAGCTCCCACATGGTGTTCCAAGGCGAGCCTTCCCAGAAGGCTCGGAAGTCGAGGAGGCTCAGAAGCTCCCGGGCATCCTGAGAAGTTTGCTCAGCATTCCCCGAATACGAAGAAAATTGCTCCGAAGGCGCGAGGGCTTCCGAGAAGCCCCGCTGCCTCTTGAGAAGGCCTTCTCCTTCTCGCTTCTTCCCCCCCTCGCTCGCCGCTGACCCTCCCCATGCGGCCGTCCACGAGGGTGTGGATCCTGGCTCTGGGCCTGTCTCTCATAGCGGGCTTTGTCGACGTCATCTCGAAGAGGAAATATTGGCACTGACCTGCATGTCCTTGGGACAAGTACGGCAGGTTCGCGTCGTGTCGACCAGCGGCGACCCCGCCGCTGGCGTTCATTGGTGAACACCGCAGGCGACCCATAATCGATCGATGCTGCACGTCGATGCTGAACGATCTGGCATTTTGGAAACGGTCGATCGATCAAGGGTAAACGATCCCTGTGGTGTCAGACACCCAGCGCCAGGGTCGACACGGCACGAACCTACCGTACTGCAACTGTCACCGTCGATGTATGTTTTCGTCGCCTCTATTCTTGGTAGTTTTTGCCTTCCAGGGGCCGTTTTCGGGCCACGGGTCTGTCAGGGACGGCCCCGTGATGGAAAATTACCCCTGGGGAAGTGCCCGGGACAATTAATTCTTCGACATGTTTTGCAACAGTTGCATTATTTCTCAAGGGGTGCGTAGCTTTCGAAGGTCCCCGTCGGACTCCTTACACCTGTGTTGGACCTCCACTGGCCGCGCCACTGGCGCGCTTGGAGCGCACCAGGGAGGCTGCTCCAGCGTCGATCCAAGATATCTGCGCGGACTTTCGAAAGCTCATTTGTGTGCCGATCTTTTTTTCTTTTTACATCACCCTTATCAGATATGGGGAGTTTGCAGCACTGCAGACTGGAAACATGATCTTCATCGGCCGCCTTGCATCGGAGTTTGCGACAAAAAACGGGCGCGATCCGGCCGAGGTTTGGAAGGACATTGGCGAGCATGCTGCGGTGCTTTTCTCGAACTTTGGCGGGGTATTTCTCTTCTGTCTGATCGCCAAGATCAGCCGATGGCCAGTCAGGATTGCTGCGTTCCTGCTTCCAGTGCTCATGGCTGGAGGTGCTACGATAGACCTTCTCTCACCGCAAGGGAGCAAATGGGCTTGCTGTCTGGTGGCGGCATCGATGGGAGCAATGAATTTCATTTCCTCGCCGAATTCTGACATGAAGGGGAAGCTTTTCGCGATGACGGCCCTCGCGACTGGCAACCTTCAGAAGTGTGCTAAGATGTTCTTCAAGCTTGTAAGCGGTCACAGGTTTACTCAAGCGGAGCTGCAGCAGACATGCAATGCTGTCACCACTGTCGTAGGCACGATGACTGGTGCCGCATTGGCTGGCGTGGCAGTGTCTCAATACTCATTCGGTGATGAGGAGCACTACAAAGCATGGTACTTGGTGATCGCAGCACCCGTGCAGCTTGCCATTGTGATCTACCATGACTGCTTGTTCAGACCCGAAGACGCACCTCCAGCCGAAGAAAGGTTGACTGCGGTAGCCTGATGAGCTGCAGGCCTGTGGTGTCCTAAGTCTGCGCAAGCACATGCGTGGAGTATCTGTATAGGGCCTCCTCTCGGTCCGAGCGGGGTCTGTTCTCCTCTTTTCCGGCGGGGCAGGTGCCGCTTCTTGCCAGTAGTGGCCCAGCGTCACGTTTCCTCCTTAGGGGAACAAACAGCAGTGACATAAACATAACAATTCGGAGGTCCGCGCGGATTTCCCGGATCGGCGCTGGACCCCCCTCCCTGGCGCGCGGAGCGCGCCAGGGGCGGCGCCGGAGGCGCCGCCGGGGGGCCCCAGCACCGATCCGAGAAATCCGCGCGGACCTCCGAGTTGTTATGTTTATGTAATTTCTCGTCCCCCTCCTCCTCCTCCTCCTCCTCTTCCGTTCCCTTTTGCCGAGGTCCCACATGCCGAGCTATGAAAAAGAAGAGTCGCAGGCACTCGCGCCCCCAGAGCCCTCGACACGCCCAGGCCTCCGACGGCTCGAGTATGCTGAAGCCTGTCGATGGGTCTCTCGGAGGGCAGTGCCCGGCCCGAGAGTCTCTGCTGATGGCGCCTCTCGGGGGCGGCAGAGAGGGGGGTGATGACTTGGGGGGGTGGGGGATATCATGGCGTGGGCCAGAATATTTCCCCAGATTTTATGGCGCCCCTTCTTATTTCATTACGTCCCTGGCCCCCCCGCTGGGCCGCGCACATGCCGCCGGTCATGATTTGGACCCCCCCCTCTTGGACGCCCCCCTCTTGGCCGCTCCCGATCCTCGGCGGAGAGCGGAGCGGCCTGTCGTTTGCAACAGTAACAGAGCGCGAGTCCTTGCTGGTGGCTCTGCGGCTGAGAGCGACCTGTCGCTTGCAAAATTAACATAACATAACGGGAAAGATATATACATATATATATACATAGAGAAGAGGGAGAGAGAAAGAAAGAGAGAGAGAGAGAGAGAGAGAGAGAGCGCCAGCACTGAAAAGTATTGCTCGGGACGCGAGGCGGGATCCCTAGGTAGCACTGCGCCCCTTGGGGTCTGGCGGCCAGGGCATGCAGTCCGCATTGGTCGAAGGGGCGAGGCGGCCGCTGTATGCAGGGTGCGCGGGGCGGGTCGGGTCGGGAATGACAGGCGGCGACAGAGGGAGGAGGTGAGAAGGAGAAGGCCTTCTCAGAAGGCGGCGGGACTTCACAGAAGCGCTCGCGCCGTCTGAGAAGTCTTTTGTGTCTTCGGAGAAAGCTTAGAGAACTGCATAGAAGGCGGGGGGACTTCCGAGCCTTCTGAGAAGGCCCGCCTTTTCTCACTTCCCCCCAGGGCCGCCGAAATGGACAGCCGCGACTGGACCCCTCGACCCCCCAGTTCGGGGGCGGACAATACAGGGGTGAACACTAGGAGGGGGATGTCAAAATCACGGCAGGGACCATGATATCTCTCCAGACTTCATGGCGCCGCGTCGTGCTTCAACACGTCACTGGCCCCCCCTGGGCCGCGCACGTGCCGCCCGCAATGATTTGCGCCTCCCCCCTCTTTTGGACGCCCCCTTCTTTAGACGAGCGCATTCCACTACTCGCAAAGTAATTACTGGCAAATGGCCTGGATCCGCCGCGGGGGATCTACGATCCATGACATATCGGAATAGCTTTTTCCGACGTTTGCGTGTAGCGAACCAACAGTGGTTTCACCCGCACGCGCAAGGCAGCGTGCAGTGAGTGACGCCATCTTTTGCTGAGTGCAGAGACTTACGAAAAAAAACTATAGATACGGACGCTGAGCAGAAGCACGTGTTTGGGTGGCTGTGTCTGCAGCACCGTTCCCCAGCTTGTTACGCAATGAACGCATTCGCTCACACACCATGGCCTGAGTGACGCGTGCCTTCACATTATCAAGTTCGGGCGGATCACCTCCCCAATCATCAACGTTGTGCCAGACCTGCTTCCATCAACATGCCCACGCTGCTGAAGGCGCGGTCGTTGCTGCTAGACCTCTCAGCATATATCATTTTCACCCGAAGTCAGAGTCCGTGTGGAACACGACTGGTGGCACAGCAAGCAACAGTCCGGCCTAGAAGGGCACACCATTCCGCACAGTCGGTGCCTTGCAGCGGCGATGGCAAAAGTCCCGCACCGTGCACGGTGCTGCCGGGACCGAATGCTAGAATTGCCCAGGCCTCTTGGCCTCGCTCAGTATAACCCCGGAAAAAAAACATCCCTCCAGGGCCAGCGAACCGACCGTGAGATCCTGGAGGCCACGGAATGGCAAAACCATGCCCAGCAGGATACTCCAGCACCTAGCGCGTGGGCTTGGCAGCGGCAGCAGGGTTCGCTCGAACATCGCACGTGCCAGGTCGTTCATAGCAGCGCGATGTGCAAAAGCTTGCACAGCCGCTGGGACAGTCTCTCTAACAGCCTCGATCGTGGCCTGACACTCGGCGTGACGGTGCAGCAGAGACCATGGGGCCTTCTCGCACGCAAGTCACGGAATTGAAATTGTCGTTTTTGTGGCCATTGAGCTCCAACGCAGGCGCTCCGAAGGTTGCCCTTCTGTTGCCAAGTGATACCCTCTTTGGTGCCGAGAAGGTGCATGATGGGGGTCTCCAAGAAGCCGTCTCTGAATTCAGGTAGGTTCAAGTGCTCCGAATCCTTGAAGTTCCAGCCAGTCTCTAACATCGTGCTCACAACTTGCCAAGAGAGCCTTCGGACAAAAATCCGCAAGCCGAATGACCATGCCATCAGGATGCCTCCAGACCAGAGCTTGCGAAAATCTCCGACTGTGCGGCGAAGCATGGAGGGCTCCACAGGAACCTCGAACCTATGGCCACATATGATCCTTGTCGGTTGGAGACTCGCGTGCATGATCTGGCCCACGAACCAGCACATGCTCAGATACAGTACCGCACCATAAGACATGCGGCGTAACTTCGATGGGCTCCAGCGTGGCCCGCCCATCGGGGTCGAATTGGTGCTGCAGCGCCAGCTTGAGCGCGGACGTGCGGCTCGCTCTTTGCCACTCTCGGCATCGCTCGGACGTATGCATTTTTTCTTCCGGCGAAGACCATCGAGGAGCATCCTCGATCATTTGGCAAAAAGAACACGCACGAAACTGACAAAAAAACACAGGGAATGGACGTCCAAGCGATGGCGAGCACTGGTCCTCGCGCCCAGCGCGGTGGAACCTTGCGATTTCAACACATCAAGCTCCTTCAGGGTGGTGCCCTGAACAGAGGTCCCAGAAGCAGCGGACGTTCCCGGGCCGCCCCAGACATCAACGCCATGGTTTTCCTCCGAGCCGTTCCACATCGCAGATGTTTGAGACGCTTCAACTTGTGCCTGGCGACCTTGCTTCAATCTCGACGACTGGCCCTCAGGACTCCTCTGCCAGAAACTTAGCCGACCCACAGTTTGTTCGGCCAGGACCCCCTTCGCTATCGGAGACATCCCGAAGCGGCGCATCAGTAGCTACTAAAAGGAGGCTGCCTCTCTGAGCAATCCCCCAGGCAACTAGAGCAAGCTCATGCTGAAGAGTGACTGCAGCACCGGCTATCTCGTCGATCGCACGACCACGGTCACGACGACCGACGAGACCGCTGGCTATCTCCAGACCGGTGCCGACGACCGACGAGACGGCAGCCCGCTGCTTTCAGCGCCCACGGGGCCGAACAGGATCAACTGCAGAATTACCGTGGCGAAAATGCATCCTGGCACGATGGTGGCCGCACCCTGGAGATCCAAACGCAGCGGTAAACTTTCGCCCCAAGCCTCAGTTGCCAAGGCGGGAATTGGGTCCTGAGCTGTTCTCAAGAGGTGATGGTGTTTGACCATCTCGAAGGCCTCTCTTCCTGAGGTCCAGGAGGAGGCTCGCCGAGGAGAGCCCCTGGCATTGAAACCACTCCGCCGGAACCGCCCGAACGTCGACGCACGCGCCGGCACTTTCGCCGTTGGCGGCCCACCACAGCGATCGGTAGTTCGCCTGTTTTCAACAGGGGATCAAATACCTTCTAAGACGACGTTGGAAGCGGCAGCGACAGCGAAGCAGCCCAATGTCCCAACGCCTCCAAGCCGTTCTGTGATGAACACTATCTCGTGGGCGAGGGGCGGCCGCGGGCGCCTCATCGGGCAGCGTCAGCAGCGTCCTTGGCGGAAGCTGGTCGTGTCCAAATCCAGTGCCTGCGCGAAAGGGTCATCGATCTCTTGTTAAGCACCTCGAGAGTTGGCGGGGGGAGTCGAGCCCCGGGGTCGTCGGGCCAGTCGAGACCTGGCTGCTGTGCTCCCGCGCGCCACCACTCGGCCCACTGCACCTCCAGATCCCTCGCCTCCCCCTCGCCGGTGCTGGGTCGGAGGGCGAAGGAGTCGAGACGAGAGAGGAGGGCTGCCCCGCAGCAGGCAACTGCGCCTGCTGGAAGAGCGCCGCAGCGCCTCCGACGGCGTGAGAGTTGTTCCGGCGGTCCCAGCTGACGACGTTGAGCTGGGCGGCCCGCTGGCGCAACCCGTCAGCGTGCTCTCTCGCGTAAGGCGCGAACAGGTCAAGCATTGCGTGATCAGAATTCTCGAGCGATCCAGTGCTCCCGACAGCGCCACTGCGAGGTCCGAGTTGTGGGCGCGCGAGGAGGCCTTAAGCCTCTGAATCTTATGACGGGCCTGCTTGGTCTGGGCCAGGGACATGGGCTTGGCCAGGGACTTGAGTGCCAAGGCCATTGATTTCCACCAAACCGCTGCATGGCAAAGCCTTGGAACAGGGACAGGTGCAGGCTTCGCAAGCTTGTGCGTCCCGACCTGGACTCCACCAGCGCGACACAAGTATGGGCGGGCAAGTTCCCAGGGAATCGGATGCACCTCAAGCTTCTCCAATCTGGCGGCCGACACGGGGACGTTTCAGGCATGCTCCGAGGTCCCAGGCTCCACAGCAGCAGCGGCCACCAACCGCCGAACAGGATTAGGGTGATTACGACAGCCCATGGGCATCTCTCTGGGGAACCTCCTGGGCACCGTGGCTATCTCGATAGCTGGCAAGGTCTTTGGCGAGAAAGGGCTCGATCGAGGCGGGCGCGCGAGGCGTGGTGGCCACGTCGGAGAGCGAGTGGACGGCGCCTCCACCAGCAGGGCCACTGCTGACCACGCAGTAGTCTATGATCCTGCTGCAGCGGGCGAGCACGTGCCCGCCTCGGAATGCAGAGCCTGCGGTTCGGGGGCGTTTACTCAGCCAGAGTGAAATAATCTATCTGGCAGGAGGAGGAGAGGAGGAGGAAGAGGAGGAGGGGGGGAGGGAGGGAGGAGGAGGAGGAGGAGGAGTCGCCCATGACCACGCAGGGCAAGCTGGCCATCTGGAGAACTGCACCAGGACGACGGAGAAGGTCCCAACATAGCAGGCTCCAAACCAGCTGAGTCGTGCAGATGCACCGCACGCGCCAGCAAGCCCCCGGGAAAGAGCCCCCCGACCTGCAGAACTTTGATCCTTCCTTCTTTCAACCAGTGGCGAAGCGTCCTGGCTCGCCTATAGGCCCACCAAAGAATGTTCTAAGACCTTTTCGTGGTCTGCACGAAATGTTATTGGAACATGTCTGGCCGGTACTGCTCTGGTTGAACACATCGGGCTCATGTTCTAAGAGCATTGTAATTTATATTTTGACATTTGTGGATTTTCAGAACATGTCGTGGTGGGGCTATAGGAATGTCGCACTCTGCTCAACTCTTGGACATCCTGAGGCGCAGCCCCAAGACCAGCGAGCCCAACGCTTTTAGGAGCTGGCGTCAGGAGCACTGCCGATGCACCGCCATTGGACGTCATGTGAGTATTCGAGAAAAGAACACGCTATCCCTGCTTCCGAAGTTCCTGCCCCCGCGCATCCGCATCAAAACGTTGTTTTTTCTGGGCAACGGCGGGCCGCGCACCTAAGAGTCCGAGAGTGCGGAGAGGTCCCGTCCTGAGCAGCGCGACAGTTGCCCAGAGGTCCTTGGGCCTCTTAGGGCAACGCGAGCGGCCTCATCCAGGGCTGCCTCCAGCGGCTGCGAGCGGGTGATCCCGCGAGCGCCCTCGTCGCCCCCGCCGCCGAAGGAGTCGAGCCAGTCGCCCCGCTCCAGAAGCCGCGCGGCCTCCTCCACGTCGCTCTTCTTGCGGGCGTCGGAGACGCCGCCGTTGCCGCCGACGGCACCGTGGTCACCCCAGCCAGCAGCTGCATCGCCAGCATCAGGGTCATCCTATTGCTGACGTGCCTCGGCCTCAGTACGCGGCTTGGCCTCTGCCCCTGCCTTGGCTTTGGCCTCGGCCTCCGCCTCGGCGTCGTCGCGCGCCTAGGCCGCGATCTTCATGGAGTCGAGCATGCCTCGGTCCAGGCCCAGCTCCGTGAGCTGATGCAGAAAGAGGGCACCAGGGTCGGCTCGATCGGGCCGCCCAGACCTGGTGAGCTCCTCGAACGCCGTGGCTGCCACGCGATCCGCTTCCCGCTCCTGAGCTTCCAGTTCGATGCACTTCGGCTTGGGCTCGCCCGCGCGCGCGACCTGCTTGGCAAGCGCCTCGTGCGCCTTCTCGGAATTATGCGCCTCGCGCCCCCCCCCGTCCGGGTCCA